CAACTATGCGGGCGTGGCCACTATGTGTAGCCTCATCTTTTTCGTGTTAAATATATTGTTCTATCCCCGGCTCCAATGTGTTACCCAGAACATAGTAAAAGCATATTTCCGACTATCGCGATAGGATTAAGCAGTTTAGGTAGCGATAGAACTTCCAAGTAAGAGCTTATGTGTTAGGCAGTCTTATCATCGCAAATCTATAACTTTCGATTAGGTCCATTATTCTAGTAGAATAGGTCGGTGAACTTAGACCAAATTAGACATTACTCTTTAAGGCTAGAGTGAGACGGCTCCACACTTGAACTTCATCAACAAATTTAATCTGAGGAGAACTCCAGAAACATGATAGAGTTTTACAGTACAAGTTGACTGGCTTGTGGTCCAAGGCAGGGATTGAAGGTTTTGGAAGTAATATTTTAAGGATCTGTAGTGGCATCGGACCATAACCACACTATCCTCAAAGCTGAATACGAGATTACTCGGAAAATAGCTATTCAATATTTAACGCGAAGAAATACCTAACGATGGAGAAGGCGCGAATAATGAATTGAATAGACTAGAGTTGATCGAACGGCATGGCTCGGCCATGCAGGCGTGGTCTCTGCTGAATGTTACCTAATATCTTCTATTCATACTAAATATATTGTTCTTTCTCTAGCCTAACCTTGTTCTACATCATGTATTGGTAATTGATACGATACAGTGAGTTGGTGTAGTCGATGGTGTGACTTCCACGTAAGATCTTATAGATTAGGCAGTCATATCATGACAAGTCTACAGATTTAGGATTACAAGAGCAGTACTAATAACAAAGTAGACCATAAGTTCTACATTGATGAGCCCGACGTGATAGTCGTTGTTGCTAATCGTATTTGGATTTATGGATTGGTTTATCATATTAGCAGTCTAAAATGCAAACATAATTTAGATAATAAGATTAAAAATTTAGGTACTATCAACTGCACTAGTAAAATTACTAAATCCTCAGGTAGTTGTTGGTTGAACAAACTTTTAAAATCTAAACTCCGTAGCCTACTAGAATTAACATTAAACAAATATTTCTGAATTGAAATTTATAATTAAATTAGGCGTCTCGGATTCTTTAACGTCATAAATTTCTGATAATTTTGAATCACCTAAAACAACAATGCCTATTTTTCCACTGGCCAATCTTCAATCAACACTATAACCAATTAAACATAATAGTTTCAGGATATCTTCATAAAGCATTGTCATGACTTGACAATCACGTAATATGATTGATAAAATTAATGAAACTATTAACAAAATCGGTCAGCGAATTGACTTATAATTATCACTAGTGTTGTTTTTCTTCATTCACTACAGATGATTACAGTATGTTTCTCTATCAGTTGCTCATTCAGTAAATATCTCAAAACTTTGTCAGTCTAATTGATGGTTTAGCGACACAATCATGCATGCAAATAATCAGTATAAGCAGTCGAGCAAATATCCTGCAAACTGAAAACATCAATGTCGAATTTACCCCAACACTGACTAAGGTTCAAGCTATTATCATAGGCATGAGTTGGGAGTGCACTCCCCTTGGTTACAACTTATGTTCTCCCTGATAATCACATGAGCATCACTCACTATTAATCATCTTGTAAAAAATTATTTAGCTAAATACATCTTGCAGCACATCACTTAATAATATGACACATGGGCTTAGCTGATTTTAATAACTTATAACCACTATATCTCAATTAAATCGTATTCTGTCTGCATACGTGCAACTAACTTGTATGTCCAATCAGCCGGCAAGTATAAATATAAATAACTAGTCTGCCACAGATCAGAACATTGAGTCTAGAGCATGTCTCTTACGAATACACTCATGTTTAACGATTTCCTAGCTATCTGTCCAAAATTCACATAATTATCACTCACGTATTTAAATATTGTTTTGATAAACATTCATGTGTATTAGTAGCATTACTAAATTCTATCACGGTCAAGTAAAAATGAGGTTGAGAAAATCTCCCCGTAACTAAATAAACCGTATCAAACTAACTGGAACACTAGTTGGAATTCTTCTCCACGGTATTACTTTTGTTCTTTCAGTTAGCCTACTAATACAGATGCAATTGGAAATCGACTCATATGGACAACTTACCGGCATAATCGTTATTTGATTTCATAAGTTAGACTAAAAGTAGTACTGATTATAACATTTCTACAATATTCATAACTTTCATATTTCTAAACACAAAATACATACTACCTATACGTTAAGTTATCAACCAACGGCTATTACACACGCATCGTTTTATTATTACTATTATTATTATTGTAATCCCATTTTTTTATAGCTCAAATAATCACTCAAATTTTCATTGTAAGCGTGTTAAGCATGAAGGCAGATATTTTAAAATTATTACATGTATTTCCCGACCAGATGCTGCCGTCTTTTTTGATTTATCTTTCAGCTTGTCATCACCCGGAGGATTCTTATTATCCTTGGTAACCTCCGGCGCGCGACGATCCCATCCAATTTGGTATCGAACCAACACTACGTTGATTCTGGTGGGAGAGTAGTGTAGTGGCATCGGACCATAACCACACTATCCTCAAAGCTGAATACGAGATTACTCGGAAAATAGCTATTCAATATTTAACGCGAAGAAATACCTAACGATGGAGAAGGCGCGAATAATGAATTGAATAGACTAGAGTTGATCGAACGGCATGGCTCGGCCATGCAGGCGTGGTCTCTGCTGAATGTTACCTTATATCTTCTATTCATACTAAATATATTGTTCTTTCTCTAGCCTAACCTTGTTCTACATCATGTATTGGTAATTGATACGATACAGTGAGTTGGTGTAGTCGATGGTGTGACTTCCACGTAAGATCTTATAGATTAGGCAGTCATATCATGACAAGTCTACAGATTTAGGATTAGGTCTATTACTAGAGCAGTACTAATAACAAAGTAGACCATAAGTTCTACAGATCTACGAAATATTAGATCCGCATATGTTCAGTCATACTGCAGTAGCTGTGGACGAACTTGTGAGTGAAATTCAATAAAGAATATGAGCACATAAGAATGTACTGAATCCCCAACCTTCATTATGAGCTCGAACCAGAAGAGTAATTAGGTCCTCATCGGAATCGAATTCAACAACTCATGTTGCTTTACAGCTTCACATCATCGGCAAAAGCAGGTGTCCCAGAAAACACTCATTAGTCCATAACCTTTATTTGAGCTGAAAAGAGCAATGGAAGCATCAATGAATTCCACGGCACCTCATCAGAGTAGTATTCATTTTAAGGAAGTGAACGGTTTACGCTGGTAAATTGCACACGATTGTGAATAAGGGACCATCCAACAAAACGAAAAGGTGGATAAAGGAAAAATCTAGTTTTAAGATTTAATGTGAACTCAGGAGAAAATAGACCAAAATGTTGACTATTACGATGGAGTTTTGTTCTCTGAGCTGGGTGATTTAGTCGTGAAGCTTTCATCGTTATTCTGAACGTCATCATCAGCACAAACGTCAGGCAACGTCGTACAGAAGAACTATGAAAGCTCCATGACTAAACCATGCAGCTCAGAGAACAAAACTCCATCAAAATCATCCACCTGAGCTACAAATCTTCTCAACCATCTTAAAATCAAATGTTGACTATTTCTTCTGTTTTAGGGAGAAAGTTGAAAAAATCCGCAATGGTCGACAGTTGCGGAAATAATATAAAATCTCATGCCTTCAAAGCAGAAGTAGTGCTGGTTTCGTCTAAATTTAATTCAAAAAGATATTTTCACCAGCATCATACGACTAGGAAGAAAAACAGGAAGGAATTCACGTAATCTTTCTCTTTTACGTTGCATTACTACTTATTTGGGATATCTCTCAGCCTAAATCTCTTAACAAGTCAAGACTGAGTTTTAGCTGAAAGACATACGTAGGTAGTTTGCGGCCCACATCATCGACAATATTCTTTCGGTGGATGTTTGTTCATCTCTCAACACGGATTCATAGATGGTTCAAATGGTTGTGGACGGAATAGAAGAAGCTTTCGCTTAACAGGCTTCCGTGTCTAGTAGCAGGGGATCACCGAATCCTCCAGACATGAACCTAGGTATGTTAACAATAAAAGAGGAAAGAGAAATCGGTAAATCATAGTGTGATACTATCCTTAGTCCTTAAGAATAGATCAAGTTTCCTCTTAAAGGACTCCTGGGAAGTCGCTTGAACTAGCTCGGCTGGCAGAGAATTTCAGCATCTGACAACTCTTAAGGAGTAGAAGTTGTGTCTACAGTACGTTCTCCTATGTTGTGTCTTCAGTTACCCCTTAGGTTAGTGTTGGAGCTAAGCTTAAGTAGGTGTTCAAGAGGATGTCCAGAAGTGTTAAGGATACTATAAGCCATCAGAAGGTCACCTCTGAGACGCTTATACTCTAATGAGTAAAGGTTAATTGATTGGAGGCACTCTTCGTAAGGTTTAAATTTGAGTCCTCGAACTGATTTCGTGGCTCGCCGTTGAATGCGCTCTAGAGTGTCCTTATCCTTTTGGAGTGAGATAGGAAATACTATGGTTCCGTACTCTAAATGGAGACGGATAAAACTATTGAAGATTATATGGAAAGTTCATCCGTCAAACTGGTCAAAAATGCACTTCAATGTTACCAGTGCAATGTCTGCTCGGAAGGCATTTTTGTCACAGTTAGCGTAAGGCTTTAAATCGTAGAGCACCAGGACTCCTAAATCTTTTTCGACTTGGGATACTACTAGAGAGGAGGTACCTAAGTTATAACTGTAGTCTGCGACATGTCTCAGATGGATTACTTTACACTTTGAAGTGTTAAAGGTAAGTCCGTTATCATCTGCCCAACTTTAAAGTCTCTGTGAACCATACATTTTTTACAGCGATTAAATGTTCGACTCAGTTCATAGCAAAGCATTTGGTTCACTGAAGTTACTTATTCGCCAAAAAGTGACTGAGGATTGATCATTGTAATCTTACAAGAGTAACGTTACATTCCTCGTGACTGTTAGTCGCTTAACCTTCAAGTTTTATTTATCATAGCGACAGTGTAAATTAGGGACAAACCTAATGTTTATTATTATTTCTAAGGTATTAGAAACTACAAAATTATTAGAAGGTTCATTTATCACTCGACAGTTTGTTGTCATCAGACGAACCTGTTATGAAGTGGTGTAGACACGATAAAAATCCACATTCTTTCGATAGGTACTATCGCTTACTTAATACTTTCATATTGTGTCTCTTTTTTGAGGGGGATTGGCTAGAAAACTTAGGTTGGGTGTGTATAATTCATGCTGTTGTTCCCGTCATTCGTTATCAAATTTAGTGGCTCAGGCTTATAGGCTAAAATCTCCGGGATTTTAAAGTGCTGGGGGTTACATGGCGAACCCATATATTCCTAAAAAAGTATGGAAGGTTCTGGCAACTTCGATGAAGTTTTGTTCTCTGAGCTGGATGGCTTGAACGTTGAGCTTTCATCATCTTTCTGAACGTCATCATCAGCACAAACTTGAGTGCAGTGTTTGAATTTCTCCACATATAACAGCTTGTCCTGTAGACCTCGATGTTGATTAGTTATTGTTGACTTTTAACCTGTCATTGTTTACTTTATTTTGATTGTATCTCCCATTGATTTGATCCTTGGTCCTATGTTTGTCCGTAATTTATTTGATTTGTTAGTAATTTGGATAGGTTTTAATGTGTTTGTCGATCACTAATTGACTTGTGTGCCAAGCTTCTAAAAATTCTTTGGTCTTTTTAGAATCACTTCCATTCACATTCATTGATGAAAGTGAGGATATCTCATTGCGTTTAACCGCTAATTAATGTTCGTGCATGAGAAAACGAGGAGGGTGTCCGCTTTATCTGACGTGGTTGTTTTCACAGTTGGAGCAATTTATTGTGTAGACGATGTTCGGTTTTTCTGTTGTCATTTTGTCCTATGGTTTGCATAGGATTAATTGAGGTGATTTTGTTGGTTTGTGTGCTGCACCTATTCCAAAAGGTTTCAACAATCTTTTAGTTTTTGACATGCCTTTTATATATGGTGGGATGTTCTGTTTGTTGGTTTCTGTGCTTGGTTTTGTTTGTCTTGATGCATTTGGTTGGTATTTTTTGGTGTTGATTGAGTAGCCGTTCCTTTAAAGGATAGTCTTCAAGGATTTTTCTCCATTTTTCTGCGCTACAAGTGTGTTGCAGTGTGTCCTCTCACTTTTGAACAAAGTTTGCACGCAGTTGATTTTGTGAGCTCTTGGTTTGTTGCTACTGTAATTGAGGATTCGATTCGTGTGGGATGGCTTCCGATATAGTTGAGTCTTCGGTTTCCATGTGTTGGTTCTGGTGAATAATATATCCAAGAATGGTATTTTGTTGTTTGACTTCTGTTCCATTGTGAATTTGATGTCATCAAAGACGTTGCTGACCAGATTATGGGTGTTTCCCAGCTCGTATTTTTTGACTATGATGAATGTGTCGTCCACATAGCGAATCCAAATTTTTTGGCTTGATCACCGGTAAAATCGAGGCTTCCAGTTTCTATATCCCTGCTTCAGTCTGGGTACCCGGGCAGTATCACAGCTCATACACAAATCAAAAGACTTGTGGGGCGCATATCTATTTGGTACCCTCTTGTACCAATGTTTATGTGTTTAAATAATCTCCGCACCACTGATTATGCAATAAGTCATGATATTGATGATCCCATCAATGTTTCTTTCGTTTGTTCGTAGAGTTTGTTATAAAAATATGTTATTAAGCATTAATCGATGAGTTCTAGTAAACTATGACTTTGAAGCTTCGTGTACTTTGCTAGATTTGTGTCGTTGGTGAGAAACAGGGATAGAGTCTCTTTTGCTAAGCTTGGTTCAATTGAGGTGAACAAGGCTGTTACATAGAAGGATATCATCAGTTCGTCGTTTAGGATTTGAATGTCCTTAATCTGATTCAGGAATTGTATGGGAGATTTAATGGAGTGACTGGATGAATCCGCCAAATGTTTCAATATTCGTGAGATTTCTATTGGTAAATTGTATGTTCGGGTTTCAGGGAGTGCTACGATTGGACGTAGTGGGATGTTTGATTTGTGTATTTTCGGCCTACCGTAGAATCGAGGGAGTACTGGTCCGTCGGATTTCATTTTTTATTGATCTTGATTTGATATTTTTCATTCTTTGACAAGCTCGTTTAAAATCCTTGAGATATGGTTGTCTTATCTTTTGACTGTATTTGAGTTCATCGGTTTGTATACACTTTTATCTTCAAGTAGTTCCCCGGCTTTCCTGGTATATTCTTTCTTGTCCATAATCACTGGCGTGTTCTTTGTTCGCTGGAACTATGACAATATTTTCTCTAGTCCTGATTCACTTTAATACCTTTTGTTCTTGTGAAGTCAGTTAGGTGTTATCTTTCTTTCATTGGGTTAGCGGTACTATGGTTTGTCTTATTTCCTGTTGAGTTCCTTCACTTATTCCGGCAGTTTTGAGTAATGACTCTATATGGTTAAGAGTTCTAGTTTTGAGGCGTCACTTGTATTTTAAACCTTTTTGGAGTATGTACATGTATGTATAAACATGCGAGTTAGTCGAGTGAGATGCAAGCATGTATAGCCTGGGTCTTGTTAATATAACATCGCGACTAGGTCATGTTCTGTGACCTAAAGGTAACTTTTATTTTGTGTAAACAAGTGGTATCGCTGCTCCTAAAAGTATTAAACAAAATAGTAGATTAATATATTTGTAATATCCCATTGAGTAGAAAAATTGAATTTTCTGACGTTTCGTGACTCGGTGTAAGCCACCTCTTCTGAGTATAATTCTACTCATTGGGATATTACAAATATATAAATATATTTATAAAAATCTACCTAATGCTCAATTTATTCGAAATTATCAAGTCAAACCCTGGTAATGATACCTAAAAAAATAGTAAAGCGACCAACATATCAGTAGATATGTGGTAGCTAGCTGAAGTGACCTACATTTAAAATTCTTTCGCACTATCTTATTTCAGTGCTTTCCTAGTTCGGCGATATAATATGCGTATGTAATTCTAGTCTTTTTTTCTGAAGTTTTACTTGTATGATTAACTTTTTATACAGACATTTAAATATCCATTTTTCCACACTTCAAAAGTTTCGCAGTAGTAGTTGCAGCAACAGTTTCTTACAATATATTACTAATTACCATCAAGTTACTTCGTTTCTCAAGTTTAACATCTCACTACTGTCGAAGTTTGACAGTGCGACTACCGTCAATGAAGACAGAACATATTTTCATTCCACAATTTAATCCTGTCGTCGGAAGAATGCAGTGGAAAGATGTGGATCCAGATTATGAATTTAACCAAGAAATAGCTCGATCTGGATATGGTGATATGCTTCATGATTACGATCGAAATCATAAGTATCGATTAGCTATCGAACACACCATAAAACGTCTTAAACAGCAGTATCCACAAAATCCTGTCCATGTGCTCGATATTGGAACTGGAACTGGTTTACTGAGTATGATGGCTGTTAATGCTGGAGCTGATTTAGTTACTGCTTGTGAATCCTTTATTCCAATGGCAACCTGCGCACTCAATATATTACGGAACAATGGGTTTAGTGACAAAATTAACATCATACCGAAACGCTCCACTGATTTAATTGTTGGAGTAGATATGCCGTGCAAAGCTAACGTATTGGTTGCAGAATTATTTGATACCGAATTAATTGGTGAAGGTGCCTTAGAAACATACAGACACGCAGCCGAGCACTTACTGACACTTGATGCTTCTCTTTTCCATGTGCTGCTAGGTTTATTTACAGGTGAGGTAATAGATTTTAAACTACGAACCTTAAGGCTTAATCTTGTTTGATAACGGTCGTCAACACTTAAACTAAGGATAGGGAGTGAAGTTGTCGAACGCGTTGACAACTTCACTTATCTTGGAAGTCTGATCAGCCCTAATGGATTGGTATCAGACGAAATCTCAGCACGGATTCGAAAAGCTCGTTTGGCTTTTGCCACTTACGTCACCTTTGGAAGGCGAGATATCCGTCTATCAATAAAAGACGAGTATAATGCGCCGCAGTCGTTCTGTTCTACTTTACGGCAGCGAAACATGGCCTTAAAGTAGAAGACCCCCGTAAAGCTACTAGTATTTGACCACAAATGCTTAGAAATATTGCTGGCGTCTGCTGGATCACCGGTAAGTAATAGTGAGGTTAGACGCAGGGTTATTAGGGAATGATGGCAAATCAGTTGATGAGGTTGTGAATCTTCATCGCTGAGATGGTTGGGCACGTGTAGTTATGCTGAACACCGATTACCACGACGTTCATGCTAACGGGTGTGGAGATGGTTGGAGGAAAGTTAGGTGCGGCAAACCAAAACGTGGCATCAGTGCTTGAAGTCACTGACTGCTAGTCTGAGCCATGTTGGTAGATGCAGACTACTTGGTTGGGGTCCGCGTGACTTTTCG